ATTTTTCGAAGGAACTTCAAAGTTTCCAATTTGAATTTTTAAGCTTTCAAATTGAAATTTTTAAGAACAATCACTTATTTTTATAAGAATATTGTTTCAAGGCCCTTTTTCATCTGTGTACCTTCAAGGAGCAATTTTTTCAAGGACCTTTAAAATTAACATAACATTTTTAAAAATATATATTTGTATTCATATTATGCTATAATTTTTAAAATGTCAATGTATTCCTTAATAATGTATGTATGTGTGTGTGAAAATGTCTTGGATGTGGAATAGGATTAAATTTATTCTTATACTGTGTAAAAACTAATTACTCTAAATTTTTGTTTCTCTTGAAGACATTTTTAGTTGTTTTTTTTTTTTGGATTTTTCTCTTATAATTAAGTTTTTTTTCAAATTATTTTCACTACATAATACATAACAATATACACACATACAATATATATAAAAATCATCATTTTCATCTTACCATTGTAGCGGCTTATTAAAGGGTAATTTGTTTTTTTTTTTTTTTTCATTTTTTGTTATTTTGGTTTTTCTATTCGTAATAATAATCATCATTTGTTTCATTTCTTTTTATTTATTTATTTTTTTTGGTTTTATAGATTTCAATAATAATAATCATAATAAAAAATATAAATATGTATATTTTTTTGTTTTTCTTTATTTCTACAATTATTTTTATTTTTTTGTCAGTACATTCCAATTGAGAATGTCATTTTGTGTGTGTGTGGATGTTGCTGTTGCTTTCATTATTGTTGTTGTGCTCATTAGATTTCGATTAGGTAGGTAATTTTGTGTGTTTTTTTTTGTTTCCAATAAAACTTAATTTTTCTTTTCATATTCTGGGGTACTTGGGAGTGAATGAGAAAATGCAATCGTAAATAGTTATTATATTTCTTTTTATGTTTAACCCTTTCAGTGGTATCGAGGGTCCTCAGGATATTTTTTGAAAGTTAATATTATATTCGGTTTAGAGCTCTTCGCATTTGACTTCTATATAATGAAGAAATTCTCCTTAATATATATTGGAGATGGAAGATTTTTTATGAGCCCATAGATCTCCCAAGGGCTTATATGTAAGAGAAATAAAGTAAGATTCAAGTACCATGTATTGAAAGGAACTTTTTTTAGAAGGTATTTTAAAAATCAAGACATTTTGGAAATTTTCTGTCGGGGAAAAACAATGCCTTCCTCACACTGTCCATTTTTTGAAAATCACTTATCTCGAAGTCATTTTGAAAACAAAATGGCACATTTACTGTTACGATTTGGATCTACTCCAAATGAGGTAGGATACCAGATAATTACAGCTATTTAAAATTTTGTTCAGCTTATACGGGATGTGGGGCACTTACAGAATCCTACCATGGTAATATTAGGAAAATTTGGCCAAAACCTTTAAAATTCGTCATATTGGTCGATATTATTCAAGGGAACTCAAACAGTTCTCGTGCAAATTCAGCATGTTTATCGTGCAACTGATCAAAAATTTGAAAATATCATGCCGAGAATCTTCTTCATCAATATATGAGTGGTTTTATGTGAGCACCATTCGCCCGCACTTATTTGGACAGGGTCACCTTTCTTTTTGTTCATCTGAATATTATTTTCCATGAGAGAAATGTAAAATATCTGCTACTTATTCCAAGCCATTGCCGTTCGTCACATGGATGAAGAGATTATGCTACCTTAGATGGGCAGAATGATAAATCAATAATTCCGATCAAAAATTCAGAATTACCTTAGGGGTCATAATCTATATCCTCTATGGGTTTTGACCTTTTTAATTTAATAAGATGATCTGGGGTCAAATATGTGGCACCAGTGTTGTACCGAATCCTACAGAGTGGGTCATGAAACATGTGTTGCAAGGACTTACGTAGTGTCGGACTTTTTTTGTAGGAAGAGTTTGTGGCTGGAACCTCCAAAATACTGAAAATACGGAGGCATGTCATAGTTGAATTTCATGAACATTTGATAGGAAGCGAAAAACCAGAAATATAAAATTGCAGCAGATTCGATCAGAAATCTGAAACTTTCAAAATATCTAAAAATTGGGAAACAAGTTGAATCTTGGGTATTCAAGATTTTTTCCTGCCAAAAGGCTATTCCGTATTAGTAAGTATTGTCAAAATCCGTCCACCCGTTCTGTTAACATCCGCTTCTGTGGAAAATGGGATTATATATATTTTGCTATATATTCGATATCTTTGAAATAAACATCTATATGACTGTGAGTACGTTTTTTTCGAGTCCTAAACTAGAGCCCCTTACGAAATTCGGAATAGATGATTTAACTGCTATATAATTGTGACCTGTAGAGCAAATACCAAATCACGAAAATTTTCTATTTTTTGATCCAATTCAATTCCTAAATATTTGGCAACCATATCCAATAACAATTCTCGGACCATCCATATTTGATACCCTATATGCGGGACCAATATTTCGGGGTGTTACTTAAATTTTGGCCCAATCAAACTTTTAATACAAATACAACCTTCGGTCTGTGTTCGTTTAATTAAATATAATGACTTGCGCTATGATTATAAAAAAATTTTGACCCTTTATGGGAGAGAGGGGTTTACACAGTGGGACAATATTGCCCATTTTTGCAGCTGTGTAATATAGTTATTATGATGTACCAGGTTAGAATTGTATTGGCTAACCTATCCACTTTATATGAGACTAACAGGTTCCCTCTACTTCGTTGGAAAAAAATAACAAAAAACACCTCACTGTCTGAATTTGTCCCAATTCAAAACTCCAGTTGTAGTCCTACACTTCATATCAAACTAATTACATTTTCGCACACTATACAATACACATTTTCAAAAAAAAAAAAAAAAATCTAAATCCTACACATCCACAGTGATCCTTGTTCCAAAATTCATATTTTCAAATCAATCCTCTTCTATAAACCCAACACACTCATAGTGATCCCCCTACCCATATTCACAATTCTAGCTGTTTTCCTAAATCATATACCAACTTTAGTAATATTTCGTACTTTTCGAGCACTATGTAGTACGAATAGCCAAATATACCCTGTTATTTAAACGCTGCACACAATTCACAATTCTAGCCTTTTTCCTATTCACTATCCCAAATTTAGTACAGTTTTGTACTTTTCGTAGACTTTGCATAAATCCACCTCCTATCCACCTTATATACTCACAATGATCCCCATACCAATAGTCTCCATCCTAGCTCTTTCCATAGACCATATCACCTCCTTATCTAAACGATAGACACTCTCTAGTTACCCCAATACCAAAATTTATGCTTCCAGCTTATTTTCTACACTCTATACCAATAGTAATACCAAAATGCTACGATTGATACACTTAAGCAGACATGTCTAATAGCAGCCTTTATATCATGTATCCGAAATGTGTGTTCTGTAATTTTTTTTGTTTATAATAGACAAACTTATGTACATAGGTCTAGCATCTGTTATCGCTCAATTTTTACCTTTTCTAGTTATCGTTTCCTTATAGCACAGATTTCGAAGACCCAGCTTTATTTCGCATCATAGATAATACTTTCAAAAAATCATTTGATTGCCCCAAGGACAAACCCTATTGAAATTGATGAAAATCGGTCCAAATTTAGATATAGCTTCCATATACATTTATATTTAATATATTTTATAGGGCGCCATATTTTATTAGGCGTCATATTTTATTGGGCGCGAAATGTGCAATATTCGTCCAAATAGAGTGCATTTCGGCACATCTGACCGCATTCAGCCTAGAAGCAGATACTTCGAATTTTGGGGAAAAATATTTAAAGAGTAGTAAATCAAAATGGTAAACTTTTGTAAGGGGAGGTACCTGAAGGGGTGGGCCAACATTATTCATATTTGATAGTAATATTACTGTATACCAAATTTGGGCGAAATCGGCTACACCCTACGAGTTTTTATGCATAGTTAGATCGGCTCCAAATGTTCTGAAAAGCATTATATCCAAAGAGAGACCTGAGTCTTAAACTGTTTTTCGATGAGACGCATTGCTACGGTGTCAAATGATATATAACTTCTGTAGCCATATTTCTGGGTATTGTAAGAACCAATGGTATTATCCTGTCCTTTTTGAGGCCCCATTAAATTTGCAGATATTGAAATCAAATTCCTTACTTTTTACTTTTGGAAAGAGGCTGTTAGGAATCCCATAACCACTGAAAGGGTTAAAGATTTAGGAATGAAAATACTTATAAATGTAAAAAAAATATAAAATGAAGGGAGAAGGAGGATAAGAGAAAAGGAAGGAGGGAGAAGTGGAAAATTCTTTTCAAGTTGCTTACATTTATATTTAGTACCTCATATTGACACACATACATATGCAGATCTGTTTCGTATTATGCCCATACGAGTAGGTTGGGTAGTCATGTGTGTGTGTGTGCAGTTCATAACATATGTATGGAAATTTGGTTTACATGTAAATCACCTATATATATTATCATTTATATATATATTTTGTATCTTAAAACAATGTTACTGTTATGGTTACTGTTGTTGCATTTTTGTTGTTGTTGTTCTTACTTAATGGTTGTTAATATTAATTTTATGTTATTTGTTGCTGCTGTTGTTATGTTGCAGTGTGTGTGTTTATGTGTAATTATATCCCTTGTTATGAGTAGTAACGAAAGGTTTTCCGGTATTTCGATTTAGTTGTTGTTGCTGTTCTTGTTGTTATTTCGTCAGAAGGTTGCTCTTGTCGTTGAACTATTTTTTGTATTTTGCCGAAAAAGAGCCACACAAGATAGAGAGAAAGACAGGGGGCAAAGAGAGATATAGTCATAGTATGTGGCGGGAGACTGTATACAGGATGAGGTTGTTGGATTTTTGCCTTTACTTCAAGTCTTAAAAATTATTTTAATTTTTCTTTTTTTGGATTTTTTCCTTCTTTGTCTTTTATGTTTCGTTTCATTTTCTTTGTTTTGAGTGAAAGTGAAAGAAGAATATCTACTAGTTTTTTTTCTGGGGCGGGGTAGTCAATTGTTGTTTTTTTGTTATTCGGACATTTTTCTTCTTCTTCTTCTACTTTTACATTTCATAAGTATTTACAACACGGGCTTGGCAGCGTTCGGCTTGGCTGTGGTCGATGCAATTTCAGATAATCTAACATCGATGGGTATGCGTGTGTCGTAGAGCGTGGGGGCCTGCAAAATAATGCCAGCCGTGCCAACCACAACGGCAATTGTAAAAATCCATAAGAAAAGACGATCCAGTACCATGGCCACAAATTTCCAATCTTCTTTGACCTATTTTTGTTGTTGTTGTTTTTTATGGTTTATTTAAAGGCCCATTCAGATTTTTTTTTTTGTATTTTCAATGGCACATTGTTGTCGACATTGTCATCATCCGCATCCGTATTATCATCATCCGTGTGGTGCGATGTGTATGTGTGCGTGCGTGCAATGCCAGGCAGATGCAAGTCGAGAAGACCGTTCGAAAAAGAAAGAAAGTAAAAGAATATGCAATTAATATTAATAAATTGTTAAAACTAAATCGATTGCTTAAACAAATTTAAAATTTATTCCGAAAATGTTGGCAGACGTCTTTGGATAGCAATCTTCAATTTATGTGGTTGAAGAGTTTCCGCAGGACGATTTATATTCTATAGTTAGAAGATAAGAGCTTCTATATAACATTAATAAGGCCTAGAGGTTAGAATAATCCAAATTTCTGGGGGATACATCAGAAAGATGGTGTTTAAATAATACTCCCCATTGTAGCACACAGACATATTGAGACCAGAAAACGCCCGCCACCTAGCCAGCGAAAAGTCCATCATTTCTTGTTAGGCCTTTCTGGTACCCAAAATGCGCAATTTTTCCAGTTTTACAGATTTTTTAATTAGAACTTCACACATCGTTCTAAATTTTCAGACTGTCAAGGTGTTTCATATTATTCAAGAATTTTCCATTTTCAGAAGGTGTTTCAGAAAATGTTTGAATTTTACTCCAAAATGTCTTCAAAATCTTTTATTTTGAAGTTTACCAAGGAGAATATTTGGGAAAAATGACACAATGAACCCATATCCAAATTTTCTGTTCAAAACTATTTCAACGTCTCCATATGTAAATTCTAAAAATCGGCGGGGACCTCAATATTAAATTTTGGAATTTAAGCTCTATCCCTTCACCCAATACCAAATTTGGTAACATTTAGTGTCCATTTTTAAAACCATCAACATCTCTCCATCCTAGACTCCAACAGCTCTATCCTTTCATCCAACACACAATTTAGTACTTTTCGTACAATTTAGAACGCATTTTCAAAACAGCCTGCATATCTCAACCACAGACACCTACAGTGTCCTTGAAATCAAAATTCAGAATGCCAGATTTATCCCCTCATCCAATACCAAAAGTTTTTATTTTTCGTACAATTATAGTACACATTTCCAAAACAGCCTCTATATCCCAATACCAGATATCGACAGAAATCTCAATGTCAAATTTCGGGATTCTAGCTCTATCCCTGGACCCAATATGAAATTTAGTACTATTCAGAAAATTTCGTACATTATAGTACACATTTTCAAAACCACTTTCATGTCTTCACAGAAATACCAACAGAGACCTCAATATCAAAATTCGAGATTCAAGCTCTATCACTTCACACAATACTAAATTTATTACTTTTATAATACACATATACAAAATTACCTCCATATCTCAATTCCAGATTGCAATCTCAGAGGCCTCAATATCAAATTTCAGGATTCCAGCGCTATCCCTTTACCCAATACCAAATTTAGTACTTTTTGTACAATTATAGTTCACATTTCTAAAACCACCCTCATAACTCAACCACAGATATGAACAGTGACATATATAAAATTTAAGGATTTCAGTTCTATTCTTTAACCCATTAACGAATTTAGTACCATTTAGTAATTTTCTTACAATTATAGTACATACCTCCAAAAACAAGTCCATATCTCAATTCCAGATACCAACAGAGGCTTTAATATCAAATTGGAGGATTCCCAGACTATTCCATCATTCAATGCCATATGTAGTGCCATTCAGTACTTTTCGTACAATTATCGTACACATTTCCGAAACCACCTCCATATGTCCATGCATGAGAACATGATCAGCGACTCTTATACAAAATTTCAGATTTCAAGTAATATCTGTTCAACCAATACCAAATTGTACCAAAATAGTACTATTTAGAACTTTTCGTACACTTGTAGTACACATTCCCAAAATCACTTATTTACCACAAACTTACAACCAGCAGGGACCCCACTACAAAATTTCACTCTGATTCAAACAGTTCAAAATTAAGTACCATGTGTACTAAGTGTGCGAACTGTACTAAGCACACTTAGTACACATTTTCAAAACCACTTTCATATAAAAATCATATTTCCCAACCCTGATTTTTATACCATATTTTCAGTTTTAGCTCTATCCGTTCACATAATTCCAAATGGTATCCTTTTTTGAAGTATAGTACCATTAGAACTTTTCGTAACCTAAAAGTTCGAATTTCCAAAAACCCTTTATACATCTGTCCTGCACTCCATCAGTGACTCATTACAAATTTTAGAATTCTAGCTCATTCCATCTGTACAAAGTATTAAGTTTTTAGTATGATATAGTACATGTCGTACTGTTTTAGTACGAATTGCGGAAAACCAGTCCTTGTTTGTACTAAATTTAGTACACATAAGTACGAAATTCCAAAAGTTCCCACATAACCAAATCCTATACTCCAACATTAATATTAATTCCCAATACCAAGATTACAATTCTACCGATTCTCCAACATATCAATTGTACCAAATTTATGATCCAAATTTGGAACACAATCCTACAATGCAATAGTAATCTTATTTCAAAAGTTTAGGCTTCCAACTCTATCGGTTCACCTAAATCAAAATTGTACCAAATTTAGTACCATTTAGTACTTTTCGTACACATACGTAGATATTTCGAAAAATACCTTCATATCTTAACCTTACGCTCCGCAAGGATTAGTTATTTTAAATTTTAGGATTCCAGCTCCTAAAATTGTACCAAATCTAGCACAATCTAGTACTTTTCGTATACATGAGTACACACTTCCATAACTACATTCTTACATCAGACCTACTCCTCAACCCTGGATTTTGAAAAATATTTTTCAAGGACTATTGGACCTATTAAACGTCGATTTTTAAAAATATTTTTTCAAGGACTATTAGACCAACCCTGATTCCCATTCCAAATTTGAACCTCTAACCCTTCACATGACACAACATGTTGCCAAATGTTGTATATTTTTGTTTTTTTTCGTACACTTATAGTGCAAGTTTCCAAAAACCCTTTGGTGCATATGTCATAAACTTAATCAGTGACCCTCATTCTATTTGGAACTGTACACTATAGGAAAGTACTAAAACGTACTATATTTGGTACCATTACTAATCGTGTGAACGGTCAGAGTTAAAAACTTGAAATTCTGAATGGGAATCAAGGTCGAGGATTAGAGTCGATGTAAGGAGGTAGTTTTGGAAGTGTACTCATGTATACGAAAAGTACTAAACTGTACTAAATTTAGTAAATTTGAATTTGGAGGATCCTGAATTCTGAGTGTAGGAATGGGATATGGAGGACGTTTTAGAAATTTGTATTTATGTGCACGAAAAGTACTAAATTTGGTATAATTTCCATTTCCAGATTACTATTGCATTATAGGACTGAGGTACGTACGTAGTTTTGGAAATTCGTACTTATGTGTACTACCATTTAAATTTAGTACCATTTTTGGAGAACCGGTAGTGTTGAAATCTAGAAAATTGCAAATAATATTTATGTCGGAGTGTAGTATTGGGATATGGTGAAATTTTGGAAATTTGTACTTATATGTACCAACTTTGGTACCATTGGGATTTGGTTAAACCGATAGAGCTTGAATCCTGAAATTTCTTACTTATGTGTACTTTATGTTATTAAATTGGGTACAATTTGTGTTAGGTTGAACCGAATCCTGAATTTGGAATGGAGATTACTGTGGCAATGCAGGTTTAGGGTAAATAGAAATTTTTGGAAATTCGTATTTATGGGTTCTAAATCTGGTACAATTTCGTTTTTGGTAAACCGATGAAGCTGCAATCCAAAAATAGGGAAGTACAATTTCTATTGGATTGTATAATGCTGGTTATGGAAATTCGTACTTAGATGTACTTAATTGGTACACATTTGGAATTGTAGTGAACCACAAGAGCTGGAAATTCTTAAATATGGAAATAAAAAATGTTATGGTATTGCATAATTGAGGTATGGAGGCAGTTTTGGAAATTTGGAGTGTAGAAATTTTGGGAACTAAATTTGGTACAATTGGGATTTGTGGGAATCGTTAGAGCTGGAAGCTCAAAATTTGATATTAAGCTCACTCTTGGTGTCTCTAGCTAAAATAAGGAGGTGGTTTTGAAAATGTGTACTATAATTGTACGAAAAGTACAAAACAGTACTCTATTTGATATTGGGAGAAGAGATACGGTAGAAAGTCTGAAATTTAATATGGATGTCACTCTTGGTGTCTGTGGAATTGGGAATGTGTACTATAATTGTTCGATAAGTACTAGGTGGTACTAAATGGGGTCTTGGGTGAAGGGATAGAGATGGAATTCTGAAATTTGATATTGGAATCTCTGTGGGTATCTGGGATTGAGATATGAAGGTGGTTTCCGATATGCGTACTATTAATAATTTTACTAAATTGTCCTAAATTTGACAATGGGGAATTACGGAGCCGAAATCCTAGACTTTCCAAAAATTTCACACACATGTTTCAATTCATAGCTCTACTTTCTTGATCTACTAAGTTTTTCCTGTAATTATCGAAAAAGCTGAATTTTGTTTCACAGTGTTATATTATGAGTACAGCAAGCAGTCAGTATCTAACCAGTAATCACCAATTTCAATACTAATTACAACTCCAATTAACTTTCACACACAGTCAATTAAGTAAGTACCCCATTGGAACTTTCAATCTGTCTTTATTCATTTCAAGTCTCTTACATTTCACAATACCACATGCTTTGAAGCTAATCAACAATTATTGTGGACAACCAGTTCCCTCGGTCCCACATGGAAATCACCATCCTCATCATCAGCATCATCGTCTAACAGCTGCTGAGATTCAATGTAAAACATGAAATCATCAAATTTTGTAGTCAATTGACATGGAACATGTGGGACTCTGGGCCGTATGGAAATTTTGATTTGTGTTGAAGATTCGGACACCTTTGGATGAGTGTCAAATTTTGCATTGCCTTCCATCAAGATGGGGGTCAGCAGGCAGTTGAGTGCTAACAACAAGGCTAGGTTGAAATAAACATTAAATGCTCTCCTTTACAAAAGGAGAGTAAAAGAGAAAAAAAGGAAGAGGGGAGAGATTTGAGAAAACTCTCTTCTAGTAGAACAAATGTATATATTTTTTTCAAGTTTCAGGATTGTTAAGAAGAAAAGCATAGGAGTCTTTTTTCTGAAAAGTTGAGTTGGATATATCCTTGCTATAAAAAACTTATGAGGGTGTATATTTGCCATTAAAACTGTGGTTGTGATCTCCCAGCTTAGAGAGTTGAATTCTTCTCTTCTCTTAAACCACCAACTCTCTTCTATTTTAGAACTCATACCAATTAATCCCACATTTCAATTCAAGATTATACATTTCTCTGTGTTTTTTTTGTGCAATAGCTACTCACCCTTGTGCTCTCCTCCTCTTTGCGCGTCTGATCGGCTATGTAGGTTACGCCCTTCATGGCCTTTGTCAGTTCGGGACATTTGTGCCAGCGATTTCTCAGCTTCTTCTCCTTCACCTCACAACAATGGGGACCACCCTCACGCTGACATTCGGGCAGAACTTCGGCACGGGCAGTGGCAGTTGGATTGGTCTGTACGGCTGCACTCTGGCGATTTGCTGTCCCGGCCGCTGCCGATTGGCCACCAGTCGCTGTCGCCGCAGCCGATTCACATGCCGCCCCCGTACCCAGGCCCTGATGTATTTGCACCGTACCGCTGACGCTACAACACGAACCGGCCAGCGTTGAGGCTGTGGCCACCGAATTCACCGTAGTCGTCGATTTTATCACATTCGAATTTGTATTGCCTATCAGGTCACATGTCGTAGTTGACTGGTGCTGTTGATGCGGGTGCAGGGGAGCAGGCACTGGCGAAAAGTTCGCCGAACAAGTGGATTGTTGACGGTACAGATGGTAGGGATGCGAGTGTTGTTGCTGTTGCTGATGCAGGGTGGTGGTGGATGAGGACTTGGTGGCCGATTGGCCCATATGATAGAGGGGTTGATGATGATGTGGCGGATGATGGATGGTACCGTAACCGCTGTACTGCGAGGTCGACGACTCCACACAACCGAAGCCGTTCGTCTGCACCGATGTTGAGGTTTTCTGGCGAAATTTCGTTGGCGTCAGGGGATGGTCGAGCAGCGAATCGCCCGTCTGCTGATACTGGCTGTGATGCAGCGTATCGACCAGGGAACTGGTGGTGGAGGTTTCCTGATTCACCGTACAAGGATATATAAAATTGCCGCTTATGGTGGCGGCAGCTGGAACACAAGTGGCACCAAAGCCGATATTGCCAGCAGCAGCCAAGGCGCCTGGTCCGCCGATTTCGTCCAATAGGTTGAGACTTTGTACTCGGTGTTGCAGGTGAGGCGAGGTGCTACGTGAAGTTTTATGCGGACTATGGTGTAGTCTAAACGGGGGGAAGAAGAAGAAAAAAATCAAAGGATATTTTTAATATTTTGTCAAGGGCTTTAAGAGCTACTAGGTGTGGAAGGACTAACTAAAGAACTTAAAAAAGGACTTTATATTCAGGGGCTCACAGCTAAGAGACGTGGATTTTTAAAAATATTTTTTCAAGGACTATTGGACGTGGATTTTCAAAAATATTTTTTCAAGGACTATTGGACTTGGATTTTTAAAAATATTTTTTCAAGGACTATTAAACGTGAATTTTTAAAATATTTTTTCAAGGACCTATTGAACGTGGATTTTTAAAAATATTTTTTCAAGGACCTATTAAACGTGGATTTTTAAAAATATTTTTTCAAGGACCTATTAAATGTGGATTTTTAAAAATATTTTTTTAAGGACCTATTAAACGTGGATTTTTAAAAATATATTTTCAAGGACCTATTAAACGTGGATTTTTAAAAATATTTTTTTCAAAGACCTATTAAACGTGGATTTTTAAAAATATTTTTTTCAAGGACCTATTAAACGTGGATTTTTAAAAATATTTTTTCAAGGACCTATTAAACGTGGATTTTTAAAAATATTTTTTTCAAGGACCTATTAAACGTGGATTTTTAAAAATATTTTTTCAAGGACCTATTAAACGTGGATTTTTAAAAATATTTTTTCAAGGACCTATTAAACGTGGATTTTTAAAAATATTTTTTCAAGGACCTATTAAACGTGGGTTTTTAAAAATATTTTTTCGAGGACCTATTAAACGTGGATATTTAAGAATATTTTTTCAAGGACCTATTAAACGTGGATTTTTAAAAATATTTCTTCAAGGACCTATTAAACGTGGATTTTTAAAAATATTTTTTCAAGAATCTATTAAAGGTGGATTTTTAAAAATATTTTTTCGAGGACCTATTAAACGTGGATATTTAAGAATATTTTTTCAAGGACCTATTAAACGTGGATTTTTAAAAATAATTTTTCAAGGACCTATTAAAAGTGGATTTTTAAAAATATTTTTTCAAGGACTATTTGACTGAACGTGGATTTTTAAAAATATTTTTTCAAGGACTATTTGACTAAACGTGAATTTTTAAAAATATTTTTTCAAGGACCTATTAAACGTGAATTTTTAAAAATATATATTTAAAAACCTATTAAACGTGAATTTTTAAAAATATTTTTTCAAGGACTATTCGACTAAACGTGGATTTTGAAAAATATTTTTTCAAGGACTATTCGACTGAACGTGGATTTTGAAGATATTTTTTCAAGGACTATTGGACTAAACGCGGATTTTTAAAAATAGATCAACTTATTTTTCATACATTTCAACTTACCGTGATAAGGCTACTGGTGGTGGCAGCGGTGGTATTTGATCCCTAAGTTCGAATCCATTACATGTGCGTAGCATCAGTTGGCGTGATGTTTTACTGTCGGAGCAGAGAAGCAGAAGTAAATAAAATTCCACCACATTAAAAAAATGCAAAAAAAAAAAAACAAGTGGTCTGTGGGTATCCAATACTTACATCATCTCACTTATGGGATAGAGCGGTCGTCGCATAACCAGAAACCGTGGCAGTTGATTGATAAACACTGTTCGCACCCACGGTGCCATAATGTGTGTTTGTGGTGAGCGAAAATGTATATTTAGTACTACCACCGTCACACATATACTGTTCGAGTGTTACACGCACGCACACACACGTAAGCATATGCATATGCACCCAGGCACCATAGCAAGATTCCAGAAACCCATGGCGGCCAAAAGGTAAGTAATGGCAACCAAAAACAGCAGGATATGCATCAAGGTATGGAATGTGGCCGTCGTATTCAATGTTTGTCCAGCGCGAAAATGCATTGCCATTCACACCATCCACGTTGTAACAAGTTGCAACATGTTTTATGCCATTGTTTCGGTTCAGTTGCATTTGCCAGCCGACAGTCAACCAGCCAGCCAGTCAGTCGACCACAAAATCACCAAAACGCAGCATCCGGGGAATTACAGCAATACACAGAGCATATGTTTTTATTATCGTTCAGTTTCAGATTCAGTTTCAGTTTACAGACAATAAATGTATCGTCGTCGTCAGCATCAGCATCAATGGTCAAAGGAGCAGCATTGCACAGAGTTGTTGAATAGGGAATGCATAAAAAGAGAAGAGAGGTAGGAAAAAACAATACAAAAATCAATTTCTTTTCTCTTCGACACAACAAACATCACCTGCTGGTTGGGGCTGAATTTTTTTTTTTGTTGGGTTCGCTTGCCCTGTGTGTTTTGGGGCCAAATAATTTGCACTTTACTTTGACTTTGGTGGAAGAATAATGTGTTGGCTCTCAATAACAGACAGAGCAAGTGACCACTGCACAATGGGAGGATAATTCTCTCAATAAATAAAAACAATTTTTTGAAAGATGTGTCATGTTTCATTCAAGAATATTTTTAATATTTTTATATTGGTGGAAGGACTCTTGGGACAGGATTTTTTAAGTAATATTTTTTTGTAGATTTATAAGGGTATTTCTTAAAGGACATTTTAGATAATTAACGTGGTTCTTGACTATTTAATCAAGGACCTTTAAGGCCCTGGAAGTGGATTTCCTAAAGAGCACGCTCTCAAGGACCTTAAAAGCTTTGAACGTGGATTTTTAAGAATAATTATTCAAGGACCTCTAAGATAATTAACTTGGATTTTTTAGGAATATTTAAGGCTATAACGCAATTTTTAACGAATATTTTAAAAGGACATCGGATTTTTTAAAGGATGTATTTAAAAGGACAAGGAAGGTATTGAAAACATTTTTTTTGAAGAATATTTTTTCAAGGACCTAGAAATTTTTGAAGGACTACCAACGCTCTGAACGTGGACTTTTTAAGAATATTTTTTTCAAGGACTATTAGGCTATAGACTTTTTAAAGAAATCTTTTTCAAATACTTTAACGAATTTTCTTCAAGGACTTTAAAGCTTTGAAATTGGATTTTTTTAAATTTTTTTAAGGAACTCTGAACTCTGAACTTAGATTATTAATAGCATTTCTTCAATGACCCTTAAGTCAATAAACGTGGGGTCTTTAAAAAATAGTTTTCACGAATATTTAAGGCTATGATCATAGATTTTTAATGAATATTTTTCAAGGACCTTTAAGGCTACGAACGTGGTTTCTTAAAGAATATTTATTCAAGGACCTTAAAGGCTATGAAGGTCGATTAAAGGCTATAAACTAGGGGTTTTAAAGAACAATTTGTAAAGGACCTGGAATTTTTAAAGAACATTTTTACGGACCTTTAATGCTCTGGACATGGGTTTTTAAAGAATTTTTTTTTTTCAAGGACCTGGGATTTTTAGAAAACAATTTTTCAAGGACCTGAAATTTTTAAAGAAAATTTTTTACGGACCTTTAAGTCTCTGGATATGGGGTTTTAAAGAAAATTTTTTCAAGGACCTGGGATTTTTAACGATTTTTTTTTACGGACCTTCAAGGCTCTGCATATGGATTTTTAATGAACATTTTTCAAAGATCTTTAAGGCTCTGAATGCGGATTTTTCAAAGAATATATTTTTTAATGTACCAAGGCTCTGAACGTAAGGAATATCTTTAAAGGACATCTAAGGCTCTGAATGTGGATTTGAAGGAATATCTTTTAATGGCCTTTAAGGCTCTGAAGATGGATTTTTTAAAGGCAATTTTTTTCAAGGCTCTGGATGTGCATTTTTAAAGACAATTTTTTCAAGGACCTTTAAGGCTCTGAACGTGGACTTTTTTCAAGAACCTTAGAGGCTCGGAATGTGTGTGTGTTTTTTAAGGAATATTTTTCCAGGAACTGTCATGGCATTGAACTTGGATTTTTTAAAGAATGTTTTTCAAGGGCCTTTAAAGCTCTGAATGTGAACTTTTTAAAAAATATTTTTTAAGGACCTTAAAACAAGGACCTCTGTACATGATTATTTTAAAGAGTTGGTTTTCAAGGAGCTTTAAGGCTCTGAAACTGGATTTTTAATAACATTTTTTTTAAAGAACCATTAAGATTCCTGACCGGCATTTTTTAAAGAATTTTTTTCAAGGACATTCAGTGCTCTAAACTTGGACATTTTAAAGAATATTTTTTAAGGATTTTCAAGGATCTGAATGTTGACTTTTAATTAAAATTTTTTGAGATCCTATTAGAATAGGAACGTGGATTTTTAAAGAATATTTTTTAAGGATCTTCAAGGATCTGAGTGTCGACCTTTAGTAAACATTTTTTTGAGGTCCTTTTATAAAAGGAACGTGGATTTTTAAAGAATATTTTTTAAGGATCTTCAAGGATCTGAATGTTGACCTTTAATTAACATTTTTGAGGTCCTTTTAGAATCGGAACGTGAATTTTTAAGGCTCAGAACATGGATTTTTCAAGGAATATTTTTTCAAGGACCTTTAAGACTTTTAACCTGGATTTTAAAAGATTATTTTTAAAGCATCTTTCAGGCTCTGTGCGAGGATTTTTAAAAATCTTTCTCTCAAAAACCTGCAAGGCTATGAACGGGGATTTTTTTAAAGTATATTGTTTCAAGGGTCTTTAAGGCTCTGAACTTGGATTTTTAAAAGAATATTTTTTCAAGGACCTTTAAGGCTATGAACATCAATTTTTTAAAAAAAAAATATTTTTTTAAAAGACCCTAGGGTTTTTAAGGAATATTTCTTTAAAGGACCTTGGATTTTCTAAGGAATATTTTTTAAGGACTTGGGATTTTTTAAAGAATATTTTTTCAAAAACTTGGGATTTATTGAAAAATGTATTTTCAAGGACCTGGGATTGTTTAAAGAATATTTTTTCAAGGATCCTGGATTTTTTTAAAGAATATTTTTTCAAGGACCTTTGATATTTTTAAGGAGTATGTTTTCAAGGATCTTTAAGGATATATTCTTTTTAAAGAATATTCTTTCATGTATCTTCGATTTTTTAAATAATATTTGTTCAAGGGCAAGGGTACGAACGCCCTTACATACATTTTTCCAAGGGTCTTTAATGCTATTTATGAATTTGAATTTTTAAAGAATATTTCTAAAGGACCTTTAAGGTTCTAAGAGAAGTGTTTTTGTGGCATTGATGTACTTTTTTTTTTTTTGAAAAATATTTTTTCAATGCCCATGGTGCAACGCTTAAGTTTTTGCCTTATATTCACAGTGGACTATAAATATGAAAACACTTGTGAATGTGCTTTTGATAGGTTCTGTTACTTTAAAATATTAAAAACTACCAATGTATTGAATTTTCGCTATTGGGGGTAAGAACTAGTTCGAAGTGTTTTATCTATGGAAAGCTGGTTTCGATATTTAACCAATATGTGATTTTGAAAGGACATTTTCCCATATCCTATATCCCAAAACCTAACCATCTGATGTTGTTTCCATGTCGACTCCCAAGTTTCGTACTACCCCTAATACAATTTTAGCTACAAATCTAGCTACCACATCAAAGTGCAGCATATGTCAGCATACACGTCACGTTTGGAGCTGTGTGAGATGGGCGCTGAGTTCATTCATATGCACTTATATATAGAAATCACTGGAGAGGGTTCTCTCTTTTTTTGTTGCCCACCAACATTCTAGCTATCATCCCTGCAAGCATTTGGATGTGAGTTTTTAACTCCATCACCTAATATTACACTACTTTGTCGCTTCCTGCTTGTGAAACGTCGATAGTTGGTCGATTTGCAATAACAATTCTATTGCCCCACTACAGTCAACTAATTTTCATCTCCAATAGTAACTTTTTTGGCACTTCCCGTAGATTAAAGAGCGATTGTTTTGTTTTACTCCCAAAACGGAGAACAAAATTAAACGAGTTCAGTTTGTCGGAGATCGGCATTGGTGCACGAGTGAAAAAAAAAAACTATTAAATGAAAAAATATATTTAAATTATTTAGTGAAAAATAATTGTGCCTTTTTCCAGTATTTTTAGTGTATGTGTTCAAATAATTTTTTAAAAATTACAAAAGAAGTAATAAAAAAAATAAAAAAATTAATATTATTTAGTGAAAAAATAAAATTTAATTTTGTGTTAATAACTGTGTTTTACTTATGATTTTTGTATGCGTTTTACCGATTATTTAATTACGCTTATTTATTTGAAATTATATTAATAAAGTTATACAAATAATAATTTTATTTTAAAGACTTCCAGCTCTTTTTTACGTTCTGAAGGCATTGTATATCGCATACAAATCAATAAAGTCACCAACAGTCGATGAAAACCCACACCCCCAATCTCGAATCTTTAACCAAAAAGGTAAACCGTTCGGGAAGAAATGAACCACGCTCTCGTTACTTCCATAAATTACCTTTATTGTAACAACTGATCGTTACTTAGTCGTCAATTTTATCTGCCACTAAAAAGTCAATGTTAAGAAGTAACGAGTGCGTGGTTCATTTCTTCCCGAACGGTTTAACTTTTTGGTTAAAGATTCGAGATCGCCGGCGAGGGTTTTCATCGCCTGTTGGTGACTTTTTAGTCATGTCAGCGACAAAAAATGCTTGCTGGGATGTGTCTTTAAGCTTGCAACACACATACTCAAACATTTATGCACACACTAACAACTTTAAACAAAAACTGCTGCCTTCTTCTGAAAGTGTTATGCAGATTTATTTTTTTTAATAAATAAATAAGGACATGCCTTACGGGTGAATGTGTGT